AGAAAATATAGCCTTGCAAAGTTTGCAAATTTTCAGTATATTTGTATTACGAGCGGAAATTGTTACCATTTTCGGCTCAAAAATGGTAACAATTTCCGCAAGTAATACAAATATACTGAAAATATGCAAACTTTGCAAGGCTATATTTTCTAAGCTTTACAACATTTCGCAACCAAATTTTGCACTTTTACTAATTTTAATAAGTTCTTAACGGGAATTTACTTTTTTTGTGCCTAGATCGGCTAGATCAAAAATTTGTCTAACATGCAAGTTGTCATTGTAGTGGTAGTATGTCTATTGGTACCTGTGATCGCAGAAACTTTGATGTAATATAGGCCTATGAACAACGAGAGCAAGTGTTTTCATACATTGTTTTCGAGTGTTTGGATATCCCGGTGAGACACGAGCTCGAGTTGTTTACATGGCTTCTCAAATGAATCGAGACGTAACAGAATGTTTTCGTTTGCTGATTTGAATAGAATTCTTAACCAAGCATAACGTAATTAGGAATTCTATTCAAGTAATTTTGCATGCGTAATTAAATGTGAGCTACAGTACGATCTACGCATGTGCACAAAGGAGCCCACTTTTTATAATACAAACAGTTTAACTATGTTTTGGGTTCTTGCAAAGCCTGATTGTTGTTTCTTGATAATTTATTATACTCTAGAAGCTTGAAAATATAAATAGTTGTCGAATAAAGCTCAATATTTTGGACACAAAAATGTAAACAAAGGCTTTGTTTACATACGGACTGTAGATCACCTTTAAGATATTTGATGAAAACGCTAGTGACTTTCATCAAGTATCCAAATGGCATCTTGTGATCAAATAGGTGATTATCATTGGCTGAATTGCTCATGAATTATTAATGAATTTGAGAAAGTGAAAACCAACCTTAAGGCTATAGGGGAACGAGTTAAAAATGAAAGAGAGATGCATTCGTGGACGAAACATGAGGGTATTACCGTAAAAACTGCAAGGTCTGCTACAAACCTCTGTTTTCATTTCGACAAACATTTTTCTTAGTTCATCACTGTCACTGTTGTTCATAATATCGTCAAACATTTCAGTATACATCGGTCCCGGCGCGTAGTTCAAGACACGAATGTCTTCCTGAAGTATGAAAAATACAGAACAGTTTTCACTAAATGTTCAGCACAGGCAATTATTTTGGGCCCAGTGTTTGCGGGATAAAACCTAATTTTATTTATACATTGGATAGCACTATCAGTTCTAAATTGTTCTCCCTAGAGGTCAAGTAAGGGTCATCTCTTATTGATCCAGTGGACCAATACGAGAAAGCCTAAACTAAGCTAACTTTATTTATACAGTGGATAGCTCTAGCAGTTCTAAACTGTTCTCCCTAGAGCACAAGTAAAGGTCATCCCTTATTGTGTTATTACAGGAGGAAACCTAAACTAAACTAACTTTATTTATACTGGATAGCTCTCAGTTTTAAACTGTTCTCCTTAGAGATCAAGCAAGGATCATCTCGTATTGATCCAGTTTTACTTAACAGGAGGAAACCTAAACTAAACTAACTCTATTTATACTGGATAGCTCTATCAGTTCTGAACTGTTCTCCCTCGAGGACAACTCACAAGTAAGGATCATCTCTTATTGATCCAGTTTTACTACAGGAGGAAAACCGAAAACTAAACTAACTTAAAGTTCTATTTAAACCGTTCTCTCGGCGGAAGCCTAAACTAAAGTTTATTTGAGTAACGTACTGATTCTAAAGCCAGCACTTGATGAAACATGTCTTTGGCAGCTTTTCCAGTGCAATAGAGAGACAACGAAGGCGTCGGTTGAATACCACATAAAGATGATATGTGGATCACATAGTTCTTAGCAGCAGAGAAGTGGTTTATAAAACGGGAGCTGAAAAGCAGCAAAGTATTGGTAAAGTATTAGTAGGTAAGGACTGGGGGAAGGCAGGGAAAAAGTGGGAAATGGAAGGGGGGATTGGGGGAAGAAGGGAGGAATTGGGGGAGGAAGGCAGGAATTGGGGGAAGAAAGGAGGAATTGGGGGGAGAAGGGAGGAATTGGAGGAAGGGAGGAATTTGGGGAGGAAGGCAGGAATTGGGGGGAGAAGGGAGGAATTGGGGGAGGAAGTAGAAGGGAGGAAAGAAAGGATGGACAGAAGGAAGGGTGAAGAGCAGGAGGGGGTGGGAAGAGAAAGGGAAGTAAAGAAGGAAGGAGACAAAGGTGGGAGGATGCATGCAGGGAATGGAAGAAGAGGGAGGGAAGGAAGGATGGGTGAAAGAAATGAGGCAGGAATGGAAGAAAGGAGGACTGCAATGAGTGAGGGATGATAAAAAGGAGGGAAAGGTAGGATAAAGAGAAGGGTGATAGGAAGGAGTGGAAATGGGAAGAGAAGTGGAAGAAAGAAGACAAGTTAAATGGAAGCTATCAATTGCAATCCAGTTTATGCAAACCAACTTACGTAAGGTAAAAACTTGAAGTGATATTTAAGTCCATGTACGTGCGTATTTTATTAACATCGGTATGGTTCGGTATTGATTTGATCTTGTCCCCGAGACTACCTGCATTATTTATTAGAACTGCACAACTGAACTGCTTGGGATCAACCTGTTTTAAATTAATTTTGGTTAGATTATCGGGTAAATGCGTACTGAAGGAATGGCATTAACTCTAAACATAGAGCCAGATGATATTACTTGTCAATGGGAGAGTGCTGTCACTCATTGGGTTAAACATTACTAGACTCACAATTCCAAATATTGATGATGTCAATTTGTCCAGATTGCTCACATCTGACAAGTCTCCAGGTACGACATGAACTAAACAAACACAATTTGATTGTTATATGAGTGAGATTGTTATGCAAGGGAATTTCACATATGCCAATATTGATATTGATTTACAAACACTATTTCCTGTCAAAATTAGTAAGAGGGCATTTCATAAAAGCCATATTATATTGAATGCATAAGGTGTTAATATGGTGTTTACAACTGAAAATATTCATGATTGGCTTATAATATTACAATAAGACTTAATAGCAAATTAAAAGTTGATAGATTTCAACTGCAGTGGTACCTTTTTGTTTACACATGTAATAGCTACGGGTTTTTAGGGAACAATGCATATTGCACAAAATCTAAATTTATGAACGTGAGCCACATCACAGAATACCCCCTCCCCCCCCTTCCCTTCCCCTCATGTTTTTCGGTGGGTCCTTGGCTGTTTCTAAAAGTATACTAACCATTTAAATCGCTAGATATCGTTGCCACCATACGTCTGGTTTCATCAAGCCCTTTTTTAGAGCGGGCAACCAATACCAGCACAGATTCTTTCCCAGGAATATTTTGGGAGAATTCTCGAGCTAGCGAACAGGCCAAAGCTTGTCCAAATCCTTTACTTGCACCAGTCAAAATCACAAACGTTTTGCTCTGAAACATGGTCAATAAGTTGCCTTTTCTGTTACAGTACGATGATTGATATTACCCTCTGTGATTGAGTATTTTTATACACACAAATGAATACAAAGTAAGTGCTAATTTTTCCTTTCCGGAAACAAGGAAAATCAATTTTCCTGTTGCAAGGAATAATTGGAAAGGAAGTCATATAACCAGATTTTACCAATGGCGAGGAAATCGAAAGAGCTTCAATAAAAGCCAACATTAAATCGAGTTTTAGATCAAAATATTCGTTCTAAAACCTTTATTTTTTCGATTTTATCCAAGTATTACCACTTATCTTCAAAGAATGGACTTTCTTGTGTTCTTAGCCGTTAAAAAAGGGCTGCAAATTCCTTCAAAAAATGCTATTCTGTGAAGCTTACTCAATTACAACACGTGGTTGAAGCTTGAAGTGTGTCTTTTCGCCTCGATACCAGCGCCGTAACCTGTTCAGAAGGTGCTGAAAATACTCTGGCGTGTCTGCTTCTAAGGTATTTGGGCTCGTTCTTGTGTTGATATAGTTTAAATCTTGATGTACAGGCTTTCTGGCATCCTTGTGTAGAAAAGTAGGACAAAAGTAGGACTAGAATTTTAGGAAAAGTAGGAATAAAGTAGGAAAATGTGTAGAAAAGTAGGTCAAATGTAGGAGTTTGGGAGATGCAAATAACACAATTGTGTGAATTTTTGGTGCTCGATATTTTTATGTACTCATTCACCTATGCAGGATTTTTTCTCTCAAAACTTTTAAATTGCATCGGTATAAAAGCTAAGGCATCTGCTCTGCAGCAACACAATTCAAATGCATGTATTGGGCTACACAATGCACCAATCCACACATCAGGGCCGTAAGAAGGAGCACATATCAGGGCCGTAAGAAGCTCTTTTCGATTGTGGGAGGGGGGGGGCTGAAAGCGAGGGCTGAGGAAATTTTAAAATTTAGAATCTCTGAAATGCCATTTCCTGGACTTTGGGGAAGATTTGACAGAATTCTAATGGTCAAAAAACAGCGTTTTAGTATGTCGAAATTTACAATTTAGTAGTACTAAATGGGCAAAGGCGTATTTAATTAACTATATATTGGATAAGTTGCAGGAAAGTATGGGTAATATCTTTATTCTTTGCAGTTTGTCATGGATTAAATGATAAAGGTCTGCATCTGGATTTTGAAAAAAATTATTATTAGCAAATTATTGGGGGGCTGCAGCCCCCCCGGTTGATATGGCCCTGTATATATGATGCTTGATTAACTGAGGAGGGAGTTGAATATTTGGAATCTCTAGATCGTCGGAAATGGCACTTTCGGAGTCTTCATTAATTTATTATGATTCTAGAGATGCTATGAAATTTTATACTCGGAAAATGCACTTCTCCTCCTGAGATCTTATCATCTGGGACACAAATAGGGAATAAAAATTACGGGTACTATAGATCTAATTACGAGAGCTATAACATACTGATTCCCCAAGCTGTCTTAAAAAAGTAGGATTTTATGAGAAAAAGTAGGAAAAAGTAGGAAAATCAAGCAATTTTTAATAAAAAATAGGAAAAGTAGGAAAGTTGAAGAAAAGTAGGAAAAAGTAGGAAAAGTAGGATGGCAAGAAAGCCTGGATTGTATTCATGTGGCTGAACCATCTTGCCATTGCCACAATGTCTGATGTTCAAACAGGCTTTAAAATCAGGTTACAATGCATGCTTGAAAATATGCAACAATTTCACTGCTAATAATATTCCTGAGAGTCCTGCCTCTTGGGCAGATCTGGACTGATTTGTCAGAGGGGGTTGGAGGTTTTCTACTTGTGATTGGGCAAGGGGAGCTAGCCAAGGGTGCTGGGTCAGAGTCAAACTCATGTGAACAGCTTCTAAGTCCTAATTATATTGATAAATTATGTACACTTTGGGATGGTAATGCAATTTGTAAAATATTCCACATTTTATTTAATAAAATTTATTTATATAAATTGCTTTTGTTGTTTATATTAACACCTTGGACAGTGTATATTTACACCTTTGGACCCTGTAAATAAACACCTTTGGAGGGTGTACCCATTCTAAGCCAAAGAATCAAGGTATTTGCATGATAAAATATATTTAAAACTGCTCTCCATATACATGTAATGCATGGTTCAATTCTTGCTTTTACCAAGTAAACTCAGGGATTTTCAATGTTGCCCTCCTCCCGTAGAATTCACTTGAAGTGACTGGGGCAAGGTAGCTATAAGTATAAGTAGGTATATAAAAGTCAATTAAAATTTACAAATAGAGCTTTTTGAATGTAGACCATTCCAAATTTTTTAAAAAATTTGTTTAATTTAACCCTTTATAGTGGCAATGTGCCCTATTTTAGTATATTACTCCGTCTGGTGCCAGACAATTTTACTCAAGGGCAGAATGTAGACTTGCCACAAGTTGACCTTGAACAAACGACCTCGCTGCTTGCGTTTTGTTCGAGGTCGACTTGTGGCAAGTCTAGGCAGAATGCTGCCACTCAATGAGTTAATATATTCTCAGAACAGTTACCATCAAATTAAATCTATTTTGCTGGCAAAATTGCCTTGGAGGGGGACTTTGATTTGTTGAGTTTTTTTAGCGGGGGGGGGG